TTTAGGAATGATTTGGTAACTTTTTAGGTGTGCTAATGATATCAATGGTTAAGTTTAAAAAAAGAGAAAATTCTTATTTTTTAGTGATATAAACTGAAATATTTGCAGATGAATAGTACGATACCTAGGATTTGCTTTAAAATAATAGGAAGGGGATGGATGGATTGGGGTATTGATAAAGCAAGACTAGCCATGAGCTGATAATTGTTCCAGATGGGCGATAGGCTCATGGTAGTCTGATATTTTCCATAACTAAGTTAAAAAAAAAAATTTATTGGCCAATCTAGCTGTCCCTTTTATATTAAAAACACTATTACTAATGGTATTATATTAATACAAAGTCTCACTTCGTTGGTTCATCCAGTCACTTTCATGGGACATCTGGAGGCTGGCCTTGGCAATTAGGATTCTAATCCTACTTTCCCATTCACTAGCTGAGTGATTTTGGAACTTCGGTTCACTGGTCTCCCTGTACTCCTTTGGGACACGAGGGGCAGGGCTGATTTCTAACATTCTGCTGGCAGTTGACGCTTGCAGTGATTAAAAGATTTGGGTCCTGCAGTCTGACTGGGTTGGAATCCCAGCTTCCCCATATGTATCCTAGGGTAAATTTACTTAATCCTCCAGAGCTTTACATTCCTGATTTGTAAAACGGAAATAACGATAATGCTTACCTCAAAGGTTGATGTGAAGATTAAATGAGATATTTCATGCATTCATTCCATAAATATCAAGCACCTAGTCTCCAGCTCTGGGAGGGGTATTGGGTGGAGTAGTGAAGCAATTACAGAGGCTGGGCAGTCTGGAGCTTAAAGGGAGAGCCCAGACGGCACACAGCAAACTAAACAAGATGTGCCATTTCAAGTAGCTAAAACTATGAAGAAAATGCAACATAGCAATTTGGTGGAGCCTGCCTCAGAGGAAGGTGAGCTGCAACAGTAACTGGGTTGATCTGGGACAGTTTTGTTGAGGTGACATCTGAACCCCATCTGACTGATGATCTGGCCTTCCATGCACAGCGCTGGTTCTCCACCTATGTGGTTTCACTCCCCTGAACTTTCCTCCACATTTGGCAATGTCTGGGGATCTTTGGTTGCTACAGCTGGGGTGGGTGGGGCCTTGCCCTGGCATCTAGTGGGCAGAGGCTAGGAATGCAGCCCCGAGTCCCACAGTGCACAGGAAAGCTCCCACACCAAAACATTAACTGGTCAAAAATGTTGCTAGTGGCGAGGTTGAGAAACTCTACTATACAGAGAACAACAAGAGCAATGGACCTGCAGAGTGAAGTGAAAGGGGTAGACTGGGCCAGACTTCGGAGTGCTTTTTAGGGCACGGTGAGGAATTTGAAATGATCCCCAAAGCAGTGGGAAGCCCTTCGAAAGTTTTAAGCATGGGAGGAAGGTAATCCATGTGAAACGCTTAGCACGTTTAAGCGCTCAATAAATATCGTCTATTAGTTATTACCATTGTGTCTTCCCTACTTTGCCTCAGCGCGGCAGCAGTGACTCCTCCCCGCCAGCAGGGGGCGCCGGCCGACACTTGGCCACCGGCCG